GGGGGAGGAAAGAACTGCAGTTATCAAACTGTAGTTGGTACACTAACCTTAAACTGAAGAATACCAGACAAAGAACCAAGCTAAACTAATACTTCCATTTTGCCAGAAAAATTGCGACTTTATCCAACTGCAGAGGGAAAGGAAGGGAAACTTCCAACTTGTACAACAGATGACAGAGGCAACAAAAAGGATTTTGAATAGAAATGCAAGAATGAACTGACTTCAAGGTTTTCTAAAAAATTCCTCAAAATTCTCAGGAAAAATGCATATTTATCCAAAAACGCAGAAAGAAAAAGAAGTGAAATTGAAATATTACAACAGAGCATAAAAGAAACCACAAACACTTGGAATATTGCAAGAATGGACAACTTTAACGTTTCAATTGAAAATTACTCAAATATAGCAAAATTGCATTTTTATCCAATTGCAGAAAGAAAAGAAGGGAAACTGAAATGGAACAACAGAGCACAGAAGCAGACACAAAGATTCTGAACTGAAATGCAAGAATGTAACTGCAGTTCAAATCAATTCAGTAGCTGGTACACTAACCTTAAACTGAAGAGTCCCAGGCTCTGTTTTGTTTTTTGTTTTGTTTTTTTCCCTTCTAAAAAGATCTTTTCTCTCCTTATTACTACAACTCAAAGTGCTGTTTTAATGTGGAGAGAGAGGGAGGAAGCACAGGAACTATGAACAAAACCCCTTCTGTGAATTCAAGTATTATAAATAGGTAAAAGTTAATAAAAAGCCCTCAAAGTTATGAGAATTCACAAGAATGCCACTAAGGTTTATTCTCTAATTAATAATACTCTACTGGCCTAAATTACTCTTAATCAACAATTAGTGGGCAAGTTGATAAATAGAAAAACAAGTGGGCAAGTGCTACTGAATGGTGGATTTACCATTTGATTGGTACTACTTGCTCTTACTCTGTTAGTTGTATTTAAAATTAAAACAATTTTAGTTACTCAGATTTAAAATCTGTATCTACTTCAACCTTCATGTTTGTTTTCATAGTGTTCTCAAAACAAATCATGTAGTAATTTTTCAGTGTTTTTAGAGTCAAAACCAGCTCAATTTCTTCTGAGATTGGTTCGGATGTTGCCATAATTATAGATTTGAGTTATTGATTTATGAAAATTGTTTTTACCCATGTTTTATTATGAAATTTATTTATAGCCTTTCGTACTAGATTCTCGCATGGTATGGATTAATTTCTTTTTTTTTTTTGTTTTGTTTTTCTTGCTTCATCTATTGCAATTTGCACCCATATAACTTGTGCTTAACAAGATTTTCGTATTATACTGAATCTTCAAAGTTAGTAAGCCATATTATAGACAGTTAAAAGAAGAAAGACAAAAGTAGTATTCGTCATAACCAGTGTTTTAAGAAGTATTTTTTGGGCTAGCCCCGGAGCGAGACATACCAACAATGTATTGAAGTGTATTGGTGGGCGTAAGTATTGTGGGGCGTAAGCCTCAATATTCAGGGCGTTTGCCTATGCGTAAGTCCCAATTTTCTAGGCATTCATTTGAGGCATAAGCCCCAAGAACTTTTCTAAATTTGAGTCATAATATCTTAATAATTTTTTAAAACTTTAATATTTAAAAATTAACGTATAGTAAATTTTCAAACTTAAAATATCTAAAATCAAATATTTTTCTAATTATTTATCCTAATTTCATAATCTTTTATCTTTATCATTTACTATTAAGTAACAAATACACTGTAGATTTTGTCTGCAAGTGTAAAATACAAAGCAAAGAGTTTTGTCCTCCAATTCTTAATTTGCTTCTACGCTTGCATTTTTCTTCAAGTTTTTTTTTTTTTTTTTTTTTACATTCTTTAATTTATTCTTTTATTAATTTTTGATTTTAGAATTCCTTTTGGTATAAATCGCTTTAGTTTAGATTTTGTTTTGATGACTCTATTCTGGCTATTTATTTTATACAAGGAGTACTTGTAATTTGTTATCAAGTTTTTAGTTTTTAAGTAATAACTTTATTTTATTGTCACTAGAATATCATTTTTATAGCTCTAAGTGTGTTCTATCATAGTCATATTATAGGTGCAATGCATCTTTACGTCTTTCATTAACATATATTCTTTTGTATGGTTCATGCACATGGTACCATATATATATATATATATATATATATATATATATATATATATATATATATATATATGTGTGTGTGTGTGTGTAATTTTAATGTACTTTATATTTATATATTTATTTTATTAATTTATAAAATATTAGAATATAAATATTCATGGGGCTTGCGTCTTGTACCTCAAGACTTTCACTTCTTTTCGTATTAAATAAATATTTTCGCTTCTCGCCTATGCCTTTTTAAAATACTGATCACGACAAGAATAAGAATAGTAGAAGAACAGAAAGAAGAATGACAAAGGAGGTTTTCATATATAATAACAATGAAGTCTCAAAAAAATGACTCAAGGGAGCGTAGTGAAAACGGACAAAAACAGAAGTCTATAGGAAAGAACAATACGATATATCAACCCCATCCAATTTTGCAATACACAAATTATCTTCCACCTTTTTCCTATTTAAAATGGACTGCTAATATTCTATTTTTTGGTCAAATTAAATAGTAGATACAATGTTAAAGACCGATGGCCATTTCAAAATAAACCTTGTTCACAACTCGAAAAAGTAGGAAATTATCTCCGTTTTATTAAGATATATTAAAGAACAATAAGATCAGAAGCATATGCACCAAATAAATTCGTAAATAATTGTTGTCTTAACATTTGTTAAGAACATAAAAATTAAGGCCTCTTATATTAAAAACTAATGAGAGAAACAAAAAGAAAAAGTTAATTCTCTTTTTTGTAGGATGCCATGAAATAAAATATTATATATAAGACATGATACATCACTATAATAAACTTGTCATTGTAATGTCAATTTCGATAATGCTAATGTAAAATTTTACTAATTGGCTCGTATATCATTTGAGATGGCAACAAGAAACTTTAAAAGTAGACAGCGATCAAACTTTCTTTTCTAAATTAATATATTGGGACACAATTTAAAGATTATAGACCAAGTTTCTTTAAAAAAAAACTTAAACTATGGTTATTCTCAATTTTTCTCACCTGTTTCATGAAAGAGGAGGAAATCTTACGGAAAAGTTGACTAGTTTATAGCACCACTAGTTTTTTTTTTTTTTGCTAAAAATAGCACCACTAGTTTGGATTGTTTAACATACATATTGCAGCAATATACCCATAGGCGAAACCAGAATTTAAAGGTTGGAGGTGCACTTTTGGATTCAAAAAATCTATTTTGTAAATAGGGTGTCAACTACAAATATCTCACAATTTTCTAAAGAGATATACATGTATATATGAAATTTCTGCCGAACTTTACGGATATTAGTGACCTTCTCGATATAACATAGGTCCGCCTCTAAATATGCCCTCACAAATTGTACTAAGATTGTAAGTGTAACATTCTATCAATCTTTCTTAAATAAACAAGAAAAACTATAGGGTTAATGTGCCCCGGGTATGGAAAAATCCTTGGTAGGGGAGCGCTTCTCCCGAATGGGGCCCTACGCGGCGGGAATCTGGATAAAGTCGGGCTCCAATGCGGGTTCCGGACACCGGGTGAAAAACCAAAAAAAAAATGACAATACAACAATATAACATTGACTGTCCGAGTGAGGCAAATCCAAATTTTAGCACGGGTACAATTTATATGTCATACTTTTTTTAGCCTACCACAACAAATATTATATTTATTTATTTTTAAAAATAATTTAACTTTAAACTTCTCATTTTATCTCTAATAAGATAATTTATAGTCATACAAATATTTATTACTTATTTTAGACAATAATTTTTTTTTTTTTTTTAAATTTCCTTCTTAAATACAGTGTCTAGTCAAACACAGTGGATAAATGGGGACGGATGGAGTAATGAGCAATTGAGCATGAATGCACAATGCTGTACTTAACTTCTGGATTCATAACTCTTAACTATATGTACACACTATATACAGATACGAGCTGCAAAGATCTCATGAATACAATTTACATTAATTGATTTTGGACTTATGGCTATTTGGTAGGCCACGTGATCCCCTCACGGCTAGTTTTTCTGTTGGAATAAATATTTTGGATCACATGGCACGTTTCATTTCTTTTCCTGTTTTGTTTATTCGCACGTGAAAATAGATCAAGTAACTAACGGTTAAAGTTACTCGAAGCATTGAAGGAATAGCAGTAGCCTTTACAAAGCCTTAAATGAACAGTATTCACTATTCCTACTTAGTAGTTAGCAGCCCTAAGCTTTGAATGACCAGAATAGAACACTACTACCAAACCAAGTTAGGTAATAGTATGGTTCTTCTTTGGTTCGCTGAGCGGAGCTTATTATTTTGGTATATATATACAGAGAGACTTATCCAAAACCTAATAAGCTGCGTCCATATTGGTTCGTGATACAAATTATGTCCCTATTGGTTCGTGGTGCAAATCAAGTGCAAACCCTACTACTATTGATCATGACCACATTTTCAAGTTTATTTTGCCAAAGAAAAATAAAAGTGAAAACTCACATTTTGTTTCTACATGCAACGCAAGGAAGTGCTAAAAAGTTTAATAATTGTACAAACTCATCCAAGTGGGACACTAACATTTTGATTACAACACAACTCTAAACCAAGTTGCTAGCCACATTAATTATGAGTTACTTGTCTGTCTAATGATTACCAATCCCTTTTAACCTTATGATGGTCACCTTAGCCAATCTTAACATGACAGGTAAAAGATAAAATTCTACAATTATAAATATTTTGGTTTAACCATAATTTGGTATTTGAACCCCTAACCCAACTTATTATGATCGGAGACGCATAGGGCTCATTAATTTAAGAAAAATGCATTCCCAATCAGAAATTTCTTCTCATTTGTCTTTGCTTACCCAAAAGATTTTCTAGTCCAACTATTAATTCAACTAGGTGCACAATTTGTTAAGTGACAGCAAGGATGTTGACCTCCAATTTTTCAAGGAACAATGACATAGCAAATGGAAGACTCTTTTGCGTCATTAACGTTGAAATACAAGTCTTCTCTCTCTCAAAAATCAGAAGGCCTGAAAGGGAAAGTTTAAAACTTTATTTAAGAAAGAGCTTGATGAAAGCAACTTGTGTAACTTGATATATAATTGACTGGATTCTAGCTGGAGGAAAGCTAATAGCAGAATTCAAAGGTACGATCAACAAATATAATTACGTAAAATTTTGACGGGCAAATGTGTTTTGCGTTATTGATTGTGACCCACACATAGGAAGTGCCTTCCAGTACAGGCCATGACGGATTCAGGATTTCATTAAAGAAAGTTAAAATATAAAGTAGTAAATCAAGAAATCAAAAAGATTTAACGTATAATATATATATATACATTAACAAAATAATTTATCTATCTACCTAGTATAATTTTTGGTTAAGGGGGGTCAATCCTAGACCAAGGTAGATCTGCCACTGAGTACAACTGGCATGCTGTTGAGAATAAAGGTGTAACTTGAAGTAAGTTTAGATAGTTAAGAGTAGATTAGTCTATTTATCCTAAGTTGGTTACAAGGTTATTAGAGAGGTTAGTTAATTAGTTAGTTAATATACTGTAGCTTCTATAAATACACCGCTGTA